TCTCCAGACTAAAAACTTCCCATTATTTGGTAAGAGATATCTTCATTTCACTGTTTTTAATAGTTAATTTCAGTGCTTTACAGTGTTCAAAGCAATAATCTAGAAGGAATTCATAACAGGCAGGGTTTGTGATATTGCTTTCCAGGACATTGTAATAAATTCTGCCATTTTCCAGGTTCAAACAGTGTCTGTGTGCTCTCGTATGGAGAATACAGCAGGCTAAAGCTATCCTTTGAGGTTTCGGATGCTGTTTGGGTATTATTTAGAAAAGAAAAAAATGAAATTGAACTTTGAGCAAGCAGAAGTAAATACAGTTAAACCATAAAGTCTGTTGTCTTTAAGACCGCATGGAATAGTTTTGTCTAAGTCTTTAGCATGTGTATCTTTTAACGATAAATTTTTTAATTTTGTACAAAAATGCCTTTTGGCTCTTGCCCTCCTCTGGAATATATCTGAGGGTAATGAAAAGTACTTTCCTATACTGATGGCTTTGTTTAAAGTGGTAAATGATACATTTCTGAGGTGAAACATGGTTACATTATAATTCTGAGATGCTTGTGTTTACAAGAAAATAATAATAATAAAAATGCATAAAACAGTACAATTTGTAAAGTAAAGCTCAAGACCAGTGCCCTGTCTCTAATTAGAGTGAAAACTGAAAATAAATGAAGGTACATTAGTGGATTATCTTTAAAATACCCGAGATCCTTTTTTCTGTTGCCTGAGGAGAATAACAACATTTGCCTGTTTTTAATGACAGTCTGCCTCTTTAATATATTTTAAACCCCTACAGTTGAAGTTGGGTTTTTCTGAAGTCAACTCTTCAATGTCAATGTCAGGACTGTTTCCCAGAATGTAGGTACAATAGAAACTGTTTATTCTGTACTCTCTTTTTTTTAACCAAAATTACTGATATTCTTCTTCTGTATTGTTGTGCTATATTCTGAAAAACTAAATGAGCACAAAAGGCTCCTGCAGATTCTCATATGTAATGTTAAAATGCCTGAGTTTAAGAAAAATGTAAATCATTTTGTGCATGTGATGGGCCAACAGTTTTGACAATTTTTCGACCCCATTTAAGGGAAATTTGTACGCAAAAAATTGCTATTGTTTATCTCTATATGGCTTCTTACTTGGTTCATTTTATTTTGGTTGATCACATCCAATGTAAAGGGCTTTTCTTTTTTTAAGGCTTTTCTTTTTTTATCCAATGCATATATTTAAAAAATGAAGACCTTTTGTGTACTTTGATGTAATTATGATTATGTATATGTAATATAGTTGTAATTTCTGTAAGGGTTGTATGTAATTAAGATGTAATTAAAATGTTACATAGAACAAAATCTGTCCTTGGTGAGTAGAATGAAAAATGCTTTCTAGGGCCACAGTGGCTAACCCAGCTAACCCTCTTATTTCTGACATGGTTTCTTTAAAACTTTGCAAGTGGTTTAAATAGTTTCAGTTTTTAACATTCTATAACAATCAAAATTTGATTTTCTAGTATACGGAATTAATAGTCCTGGAACATAAAGTTAAAATTTATGAGATGCTGATACAGTTTCTATATGAAGAACATTTTTTATATATTTGTATACATATATAAATTTAAGAAGAAGAAAAAGTAATTTAAGTTACAGTCAACATTAAACAGAATCTTGCACACAAAAGCGGCTAAATAAATAAATTATAATCTTTCAAACACAGCCATATGAGCGAGGACAAAAATATCACTGTGGTATTAACAAAGTATTGTAATATATTCTAGCTATTAACTAAAACAAAACCCCATATTTTTATTTCTAATGACTGGGATTTCGGATAATATAGCAAATTAGAAAAAAATATGGACCCGCTTCCGTGTCCACGTTGATGACGTCATGGTCCCTGCGACGTTTTCCGTGTACCCGTCACGTGTTTTGAAAACGTTACCTGCACTGTGGATATCATATCCTCTGTTGAAGTGATATTAGTAACATTTGAGCGATTATGTCGTTTGTGGGGGACGAGGTATCAGACAGTGGAGTGGACTCGCGCTCGCGATTGGAAAGCTATGTGTTCAGTAAGATCAACAGTGAAGCGCAGCATGCATTGATTGTACATTTGTTCACACACGTGGGACAACGGCAATTGTCAGAATTTTCTCTAATAATTGTAGCCAGGGATGTTTAACGTTCATCAAAAGAACCCTGGATTACTGTGCATCAAGATATAGTTCAAACATGTTCGTTTTCAGTAATTACATTAATTTATGCATTTAAATGAAATATACCTATTTAATATTGTGATTTTGGATTCCTTTAGGTTGTGAGTTGTCTTCTGAAAGTCCATTCTACACATTTCAAGCAGATGAAGATGAAGATGTGGAACATTTTCTCGAGCTTAGGACGGTTCGTAGACTATTTTATCACAAGAACAGTCTGCCTGTGTTGTTCCAAACCTGAATGGCTCTGTGTGGGTGCACTTTTTCTATGCAGTGCTAGTGAATGCTGACTGAAGTGCTCTATAGAAATAATAATAATAATCTGGGTTTAATATGAAGGTGAGTAAATGATAATAGATTTTAATTTCTGTCTGATTCATACTTTTACAGTAGAAATAAAAACTTCACCCTATTTTCTAAATGCATGTTGTAGATCTTAAGAACATTTCATCTGTGCGTATGTGTATTTATTTATTTTCATTTTGACCTCTTAATGTTTAATTAAAATGTTGTAACTGTGGTGAAATGACAGTCTTCTCTCGTGATGTATAGAGGACTTCTCCAATCATTTAAGATGTGTTCAGATTACCAAAATTTGGCAGGCAAAAAATATTAATTGTCTATTGTCCATAGTGTAGACAAATGAAGCACAGCTCACACCGAAGTAGGGATATGCCGGTATCAAATTTTTATGTTGCGATTAAAAATGCATTCAAAATTCTGAATAACTTGTAATATATAATTATTCACGGTATTTAGAAGAGCCCACGATAACAATATCGTGCATAGTAATTACCGGGATATATCGCGTTACCGAATACCGGCACAAGTCTACACCGAAGTCACTTTGATACCAAAGTGCTTTCTGTCGGTCAAAGTGGTGAATCCATGTGACCAACTTGAATTTGTTGCAAAATTTGCATGGAGAATTCTTTTACTCTTGATTGTGATTGTTGAAATGACTGGATTTTGCATGCAAAAATTAGCAGAACCATGGTAGATGTGTCTGCATCTTAAACTCACATTCATCTGCCTCCACTTTTGAGCGCAGTGCACACATCTCGAAATCCGGTGAACAACCGATTAATAGAACCAAGTCCATTTTTTATTTTCTGATGTATGTCACAATATGGAAGAAAAGATCCGTCGCAGCTTCCATTTCATCATGAGTTTGAATCTGAGAGCTTGGTGACCTGTGTTTTTAAATGCATAACTCTACCTTTCTCTCAAACCATTAGATTTGTCTAGGTGACGGTGCCAAACAGGAGAATAACGTGGTGGAAGTGACTGCTATGAATCACCAAGGAAAGAAAATATCGGTGCCTGTAGCTAATCTCAACATTTCCTGCCTGCCTATGGTAATGCTACGTTTTTCTGAGTTGCTTTTATTTTAAAGGGGTCATATAATGCTACATACACTTTTACAAGTTGTTTGAATGACTCCTGAAAAGAGCTGTTTTTTACACTACCATTGAGAAATTTTAACCAAACTATGTTACAGACTTTTCATTAAAACCCTAAAGAATCATATCAACTTGTGGAAAATGGGCATCCTATGACCCCTTTAATTATACTGTTGTACATTATTAGTGTTCCAACATTTAAATAATTTTTCACATCTGTTTTTACTCAGGTAAGCCTTGGGGAGTTTGAGTTGATGGCTCCTGTCACACTACGCCTGAAATCTGGATCTGGACCATTGACCGTCAGTGGGTTACATTTAGTTGGTGAGGAATAAAACACTCACAAGCACACTGTAGCTCTATATCACAAAATTGCATTTATAGCTTTTTTATTTTTTGTTTTGAAAATGAATGATGCTAATAAGTTCTCCTTCAGCCACAGAGAATGAAGAGTCTGGAATATCAGATGAAGATGATGATGATGATGATGTCAGTGAGGAGGAAATGCCCTCAGTCAAACCAGCCAAGAAAAAGCAGAGAGCTTAATTTGAGATGTTTACACCAGACATTTATACATTTTAATAATAGATTTAATGTTCTACTACGGGACGTGACGGAGGGTGGTGTAGAATGTAATGGAATTTTGTACTTTCAGATTGTGGTCGCAAATGTTAAATAGAAAGGTTAAAGCCTCCATACAACCAGCTCCATGAACATTTATTTCATGATGAAAGTGTTTTATTAGTTAATACTGTTACTTGTGTGTACGTACGTAACGGCCAACACCAAACTTCAGATTCACTCTCAGTTCAGGGACTGAGAATTCACAGTCCTGTTACCACTGAGCCCTGAAGTGAGGCACTTCACACCAGGTTGATTCCAGATGGACGATCCCTGTAACATACTGTAAGATGATATTGACAGTGAAAGCGTCAATCTTCTGCCTTTAGAGAAAGCACCAGCATTGTTCTCTACAGATATTCCTCTCACATATTGTTTTGCTGTTTGGAATTTTGTTTTTGTTTTTTGGCAATCAGGGTTTTTAAATCTTAGTCCCTTTTTGAAGGACTGATATTTTATGTCGAGATCAGTCGAAGGACTTGCCATGGTTGCCGTTTTTGTATTTTTACAGATTTATTTACAGATTCTGTAAATACAATTTGTTGTTTTAGTAGAACCAGGCAGGACACCGGCCCTCCAGGACCGAGTTTGGACAGCCCTGTTATACAGTATTAATATTCTCAATAATTTGAGTATAATTATATAGAACATTTGATAGTCAGAAGGACAATGTGAACACAATAAAACCACAAAGGTATACAGTCAGGCCAGAGTGTTCTATATAATCAAGCTAGATGTTATCAAATTAAACAGATATTCATTCTTTTTCTACTTTACCTTTTACATATTTGCTGTTTTCTGAATTGTTTTGTGTTTCATAATTCTGTTATTTGTAAAAGCTTATAATAGACTGTTTAATTGTAGGTTCTATTGTGACAACATATAGAGTGACAAAATGAGTAGTATGTTTTTCTTTGTGCAATAACAACGGTAGAAATGTTGTTAATGCAGAAATAGAAATGCAGCTATAATGTAGTCATATCTGGATTTAACGTATACAGACACTGACTTTGAAACCTGACCGAACAGAGAAATGTTAAAAAAAAAATCGCGGTTCCTTTAAAATGACGCCAACGAGCGGTGACGTCACTGAACGTCCCCTAGTAACCCTCGTCAGCGTCTCGGAAAATACCGGGAGGAAGATGGTGAGGAGCTTTCTGCCTCTTGTCATGTCTTTGTGTATTTTGTAATGAATGGGGGTTGAAGAAACTTAGAAAATACGCGCCATTTACTGGAACTGGGGGCGTGTGACGTTAGTCTTGATTAGTAGCTGCCGTGGCGGGTTTTCTGTAGGAGTGAAACCTGATGGCTCAGCGGCGCTAAGGCTTAACTAGTTCATTGCTGTCCCGCTACTTATTTTCCCGAATAATTAAGCAGGAATGATTTCACCCAGTCCGGAATCCAGAGCTCCTGCCTCTTTTGCAGCTGACATCTATGCGTAAAATATTGATATATTTCATATAAGTACTTGATACCTGATATGAAGTATAGACACCAGTGTTAAAGCGATAGTTCACCAAATGTTGACTTCAATCACTTTTCAATTTCGTTGCTTTTTTATTTATTTATTTTACATATCTACAGAATAACATCATTATCTTATTTGTCTTTTCTAATAATTTGTTATAAAAGTTTCTTGACTGAGAAAGAGGTTTTTTTTTCTCTCATAGTGTCTCATCACTGGCTTGTTTAAAATCTGGTTATTGAGCATATTATGTTTATTCCAGGGTTTGTTGTCAATCCTTAGAAAACTAAAGAGTGCCCCAGAGCAGGAGGTACGCATTCTGCTTCTCGGATTAGACAATGGTGGAAAGACGACACTTCTCAAACAGCTTGCCTCTGAGGATATTAGTCACATCACCCCGACACAGGTAACGCACACAAAAAGTACCTACTAGAAATTATATCCCTTTTGCAGAAATTACAAATTTCCTGGTAAAAAGTTGATAAGTTTATTATCATTGTGCTTCTGCTTTTATTTTTCTCTTACTTTAGCACAGCACAGCTTACTTTTAATTCTTCTGTTCTTGCCAGGGCTTTAACATTAAGAGCGTGCAGTCTCAGGGCTTCAAACTGAATGTCTGGGACATTGGAGGCCAGAGGAAGATAAGGCCGTACTGGAGAAACTACTGTGAAAATACTGACGTGCTTGTGAGTGTTTCTTAAGAGATGTGTGTTTATGAGTTATGCATAGCCAGACCACTGAACAAAGTGTCAGTTTATAGTTAATTTATTTTCATATAGACTACTGTTCAAAAGTTTGGGGTCGATTTTTTTAAGTAAGAAGTCTCTTATCCTTAGCCAGGCTGCATTTATTAGATCAAAAATAGTAAAAAAAATAATAATAATTTATTTTTATTTTAGTTTTCTATTTTAATGTATATATTTAAAATGCAATTTATTGCTGTGATGGCAAAGCTGAATTTTCAGCAGCTGATTTGATGCTCAAGAATAATTTCTTATTATTAGCAATGTTGAAAACAGTAATGCTGCTTAAAACTTTTGTGGAAACTGATTTTTTTTTTTCAAGATTCTTTTGCTGTCTTTTACGAACCAGGGCAGTTTTTGTTTTTTTTTTTTTTAACTCTCACTTTATAACCATTTTGGCAAATTTGATTTTGTAGCACTGATGATCAGTGCTGTAATAACAATTGCTGTGTTTGATACAATTACATCAACTGTATGAAAAAAACATATATATAGATAGAGTATTATCATTTTATGATGATATTATACAGCAGGGCTGTCCAAACTCGGTCCTGACATTACATTTTTACCAGTATGTGTGTTTCCTGGGAATTGAACCCACGACCTTTTGCGCTGCTAACGCAATACTGTCACTTTTGATCAGTTTTATGCAAGTATTAATTTAAAAAAGATACTGACCCCAAGCGTTTGAACAGTAGTGTATTTATATTTCTTGTGTACGAGATATTTCCCATAATTGTTTGCTTAATGATATGATTTTTGACATTATGTTTTTGCTTTTCAGATTTATGTCATAGACAGTGCAGACAGGAAGCGGTTTGAGGAAACGGGACAGGTATATATAGCAAATCTGTTTTAATCATGGCTTGTCTTGTTTGTGTGTGTAGATGAGAGAGAATAAACCATCCAAGGCCTCTGCAGGATATTTCTCAGACTATGTGGTTTCACACTTTCTCAGGTCTCAGCCCTGCTGCATTTTCCAGCTTAATACGATTCACTGCAGCATTGATATTTCACACTGATTTGAAGTGAAACTCTAAATGGCTCCAAAGAAATGTGTAAGCATATACTTGACCTTGATATGCATTTGTTCAAACAAATGCATGCTGGAAGTATTTGAATGAGCTATTTTGAATTGTTCATGTGGTGTGCAGGAGTTGGCTGAGCTGCTGGATGAGGAGAAACTTGGTGGCGTACCTGTTTTGACCTTTGCCAATAAGCAAGACCTGCTGACTGCTGCTCCAGCCTCTGAGATCGCAGAGGGACTGAACCTGCACACCATTCGGGACCGCATGTGGCAAATTCAGTCCTGCTCTGCACTTACAGGAGAGGGGGTTCAGGTCAGTCATTAGCCGCCTTTTATTTTCCCATGCATTTGTTTAGACCTTCCCATCAGAGACTGGTTTTCACATAAAGTGCTTCCTTCTTTCAGGATGGCATGAACTGGGTCTGCAAGAACATTACTGCAAAGAAGAAGCAGTGAATCGAGTGTATTTTTCTACAGCCGTTCAGAGAATGTGAAAAGCAAACTTTGTGGACTGTGGATTCCCTACCAGCTCCTCCAGGTTAAAGGGATATGAGGAGGTTCAGAGAGGCTTTTTTTTTTTCCTCATCTGAACCACCTCAGCCACTGCCTCATTTCCTCAGCCATCAACTCGGTCTGACTCACATTTACTCCATAAACACTGTGCAATAGCATTATATTCTGAATGAATTTGATTTATAATGTACAATCAACCACTGAATTGAGTTTAATAAGTGTTTTTTGCATTATTATTATTTAGTCTGTTTGATTTTGGAATCTATTTCAATACCTTGGCTTGGATTTCTATGATTTATTCCTTTGAAATGTTTTAAATTACAGGTGCATCTCAGTAAATTAGAATGTCATGGAAAACTTCATTTATTTCAGTAATTCAATTCAAATTGTGAAACTCGTGTATTAAATAAATTCAATGCATACAGACTGAAGTAGTTTAAGTCTTTGGTTCTTTTAATTGTGATGATTTTGGCTCACATTTAAGAAAAACCCACCAATTCACTATCTCAACAAATTAGAATACTTTAGAAGACCAATAAAAAAA